TTTTATCTCTCTTATACAATTGCTAGAAAACTATTTTTTTCATTGCATTCTTACCAGAGTGACAAACGGAATTAAAATTACCTGAGTCTCAAGCTGAACTCTCATTGCATTCTTTTCTCTAGCTCATCATCCGGCCCACCCCAAGTTAAAGTTGACACCACCATGTCGGCTTCAGGCATTCCCCAGGTCTGTTAGCATAGTTAGATGCTGATGTACAATCTACATGTTCTTTAGCAACAATGTGTCTTGAACTCTCAGCAGTGGAATTTAGGTTTCCCTGCCAATGGGGGGATAACAGTGAAATCACTTACAGTGTGTCAGGATGCTGGCTCCAACTTACTGGCATGTGCATTTAACTACACCATGTTAGACCGTGCAATGAGCAAGCCCCTTGGGAGAGGAAGATTGTCAATTTCAATATGTTACTCACGCAATTACTGCAATATTAATGTAGTTTTCGCAATTTAACTGTGGGCTCATGAGGTTTGGATCGCACCAGTAAAAGCATGGTAAGAATACAATAGCAACTGAGGGACTGAAGACATATATAGAACTATACCGCTAATAGCATGGCGGTCATGTTAACGGACTGGTAATCCCAAGGTCTGGACTAATGATTTGAAGTGATGAGTACAAATCCCACCATCACAGCAATTATCTAAGTAAATCTGAAATAAAAAGTCAGTATTAGTAACTACCAGGATAATCATAAAAGCCCACTTGGATTACTGTGTTTTAGGCAAGGAGGTGAACACAGACATATGGATTTTGAGCAGCAGTAGCTCATTTGACCATCAAGCACTATCCACCCTTTGATGATGATCTGATTGTGGCCTCAACTCGACTTTCCTCGTATACCCCTAATGCCCTCTGACTCACTTGTTAGTCAAGAATCTATCTACCTCTGTCTTAAAAATATCCAACGACCCTGCTTCCATTACTGTACAGGAAAAAGAATTTCAGAGATGCACAACCCTCTGAGAGAAAAACATTGTACTCATCTCAGTCTTAAATAAGTAACCAATTAGAAGTGCTACCTTCCTCAATCTAATCTGATATGTGACTCTGAACCAATAACAGTGTGTGCCTCTCAATTTCCCTCCAAAATGGCCCAACAAGTCACTCCATTGCATTCATAAAGATAATTGTATTAAAAGGGGTGATTAGAAATGGGCAATAAATGAGGGCCTTGCCAGTGACACTCACATTGCTCCAAACCTCAAAGCTGCTTTCTTGCCATTTTTGTGCGAAAGGCTTTATTCACTGTAATTGAACTAAAAGGTTATTTTCACAACCAATTATTTGCCAACTTGGGAAATTCATTGACAACAGTGTAGGTTTGTTTGGTTGATCTCTGCCTGGAAGCTCTCACCCAGCAGGTCAGCATGGGTGAGTTTGTGCTATTATACCCCGATGAGGACCAAAAGTAAGTAACTATATCAACAGTCTACTCCTCACAGACTTGCAGCTCTCCTGGAGAGAAGGAATAAGAACAGAAATATGACACACAGGAGTCTTTACCCAGCACACAAGGTCCATGGACAGGGAGTGAAATCTACTTTGAAATGTACCTCCAGATGTCATTTCAGTGGTAGCAAATATTTAGAACCTGCTACAAGAAAAGCCTGCTGCCAACTAGATGAGATGGGAATGCTTTACAGCAGTAGTTTCAAAATCATCATGTCCCTCAACTTTTGTATCTCTAGAGCTTTCCAGGGACACGCTGAAGACATTTGCAAGATCTCATGGCAGGCAACACACAAATGCATTGGACATTCGTCTGTTCTGTCAACTTTGCAAGTAATGATGCCAGTTTATTAGCTTTTGTCCCATCCCCAAACCAACAATTGCTCCCTTAAAATCCAGTAAGCAATCTCAGAAGAGTTCCTCCTGCTGTATCAGTCGACCAGTGTGATACTTCTTTAAATCCACACCAATTATATCTTGTCTCACCATGTGAAAATCTCCAATTTCTCTCCCAAATTAGAGATGGTTTTGTCTTTGAGTCCAAGTATGTAAAGGGACTAGATTGAGAGTGCCCAAACACATGTAACTACCTTTTTGACAATGAATAGCGACGTAGACTTGATTATTTTTTAACAAGACAAGTGGTGGAGGTAAAAGTCAAGTGTCTAGCTCAGTCCACTATTATGTAATTCTAATGAATAAAACCAAGATATTGTATTCTGGAAACTGGAGATGAAAACAGAAGTGAAAAGTGATAGAAAAACTCAACAGTCTAGCTGTATCTTTGGACTGAGAAGCAGAATTACCATTTTGCATCCAATACAGTATCTCTTTATGATTTCAAAGTTCCAAAGAGGAGACATGTTGGTCTCAGAATGTTAATTTTGTTTCTCACTGCATAAGTGCTGTTTGACCTGCTGTGTTTCTTCAGTACTTCCCGTTTTTAATTTTCATTATTGGTAGGCCAGTTTTATGCAATCTTCAGCTCTGTGGAATACTGTGCTGCTGATGCCCGATCAGATTCACAGTGAAGGAGTTTCTATTGCAATGTAGTTACTGCAATTTAACTGAGGAATCATTTTGAAGGGTTAGGGTTTCAACAGTGTTGTACAAGTGTACTCAAATGCAATGAAAATTTTTGCAGATTAGGTTACAGGTCAGGTTTCTGCTACACTTTAGTCACACAACCACAAACATGAAATCTTCTATGAACTGCTAACAATCAGACAATATAACTTTTTTTGTTTTATTCCATAAAAAATACTCCTTGAGGCATTTAAGTGGTAATCTGGTGCATTTATTAGTTTAGCTGAAAATGAGTTTACCAGCAAAAACATAATTTTTAATAAAAGTGTCCAGTTCTCCAAAGTAACCTGATTTGAAATGACTTAAAAAAAATTCAAACTTTTCTTCACTTATTAAAGCTACTTATTAAATTAAATGTTATTAGTGCATGAATACCTTTTAAAAGTTGCATACTGGCACCTGTGTGCTGAAGAAAATTAGTTTAATTTGGAGAACCTACGGTAAAGCTAATGCTAACAGTAATTATGGTATCTTGTCTCTAATCTTCTTGAGCAGATGTCTTTATGGTCATAGCATTTCTCAGTGTAGAGTAACAATTCTCAATAAAATTCAATGATGAGTTTAAAGAAATAACATTGATTGCACCGCACTTCTCAATTTACTACAAGTTGAATAGGGGCTATCAAGAAACATTAAAATCAATCCAAAAGTAAGTACAACCTTGAAATTCTCTTAAATCATGCCAGATGAACAGTGTGCAGGAACATCTAACATCTGAACAATGTTGCATCATTCAAACAGAGAAAATAAATCCTGTTAATGAAATGCTATAATGAGCACAGTAGCCATTTTAAGACCAGATAAATGTCAGACAAATTAACGTTTTGAAGTCCGTGTGATCAGGTGTTGAAATTTGTCTGAGAACCAGGAAATCTGAACCTTTCTCAGCATGGAATCAGCATCTAACTGAAAATCCTATTTCAGAGATTAACTGAAAAATAAGTCCTGCTGCAAGTAAATGTTCGCACTGGCAAAACAGTCAATTCCATGGCAATCCTATAACGTAGGAATAAGATGCATCTCCTTGGTATTCATTCCACTCCACAAACTGTTCATTAAATCATAACAAATAGGAACAGGAGTTGACCATTCAGCCCAAAGAGTATTATGATTTTCCCGCTATGACTTCTGTAATAATACATCAAAATATCTTCCCATTGATACAGTCATCATTCTTCATGAGAACACTGCAGTAATATATATGACACTGAGCTGTTCACACTATAGAATAAAACTGTATAAATTAAAGTATGCTGCTTTTATTTTGTTCATTAATTGGACATAGGCTTGACTGGCAAGGTCTGCATTTATTGCCCATCCCTAATTCCCTTCTAAAGGTAACGACAAATGCAATTGAGTTTGCTCAACCTCTTCAGGGGAGCAGATAAGACTCAATCATATCACTGTATTTCTGGAGTCATATTTAAGTCAGACTGGATAAAGATGGCAGTTTTTCTGCCCCAGGTAGGATTTTACAACCTTCCAGTAGTTTTATGGTAACCATAATTGATACCAGCAATTTTTCCAGATTTAGTTCATTAGTTGGACTTAAATTCTGAACTACAGGGGTGGAATTTCAACTCATTTCTCCAGACCATTATTTTACTTCCCTGTATGACCATTCCAGTTAAATAACCACTATGCTACCATATTCTGCTGTATCAAGCTTGACATCCTAGCTTACTAGCAGGTGGGAAACCTGTTGAAAGAATGTGAAAGATTGTCAATCAAACACAATTTTGTCCGACTTGCTGAGAAGGTTTTGTTTTTATTTCAGAGCTTCAACCTCCACGACATTTTGGCTTTTGTATTTCTGTGAAACCCATGCTTCCATATACTAAACTTTTCACCCTTCCCACTCCCTTTTGTAACTCTGAATAAATATCAGGGGCTCCAGCTAGCACAAAAGAAGTGGTCGATGCATCCGCAGTGCAATGACATTACAGCATCCTTGGTAACTTGAAAACATGGTAAGGCATCTTGCAAGTCAGTTACCATGACAACACTGTCTCTTTAGGTTACAACAAAAAAATCAGATATTTCAAGCATGAAATTAGAAGTATGTAAAATGAAAATAATTCACATGGTCTCCACAGTCAGGTGATTCTTCTTTACATTTCCCTGCATCTCATTATAACTCCAAGACACAAACAATTCTGATATAACGTGTAATGTTTATGACACTCCCGTCAATGAAAATATACCTGACATACTCTCTCACAGCATATCACTTGTGATAGATACCTATATGCAGTTTTTCCTAAACTGGCATAATAAAGACCATCTATGCTACTATTCCTATATTACAAACATGAGTACACTTCAAAAGTACTTAACTGACTTATAAAGAATTTTAGGACTTCCCAAGATGATGAAAGACACGATAGAACTGCTAGTCTTTCTTTCTTTTACTGTATTTAAAATAATTCCAAGTATAAACTACTTACATGATCCATCAGTTCCCTGACCATTCCATTCCACTGTCCTTTTTCATCCTGAACTCCATATCTCCCATCATCCACCAGTCTGACCTCATAGGTAAATCCGAGGATATTGGACAACTCTTTCAGGAGGTCAATGCAGAATCCCTCAAATCGACTATTTCCATAAAGAGGTTTATCGGACTTTTTAAACATCACATAAGGCTCTTCCTGTGAAAGTTGATAACAGCAAGGAATCAGTGTGAGGACTTTACACATCCCAAGTGACAAACACATCTCAGAGATAATGTCTATCAAAACTGCCTTCTGCTAATCAGGTACAGACTATGTCAGAGCAGATAAATTTGAAAGGTTTCTCAACGTAATCCCTGAAGCCTAGCATTCCCTGCAGTGAGAGCTGCTGGAGCTAAACTATTATTTGAAGAAAATACTGTAATTTGAGATCTGAGCCATTGAAATAATGCATTTAGATTTTGTGTTCATAAATCCTAGAATTTAAAATTCATTGAAGTTCCTAATGAAAAATTAAGTGTCAACGCGTAAAAACTAGAAATAAAAATCATTGTAAATTACCTCCTAGGTATGATTAGTAGCTACAGCATATTTATCTCAGTACTGAAAAGGAACATATTATTTCAGTACCTTACATGCCAAACTGAACAAAAAATCAACAAAAAAGGTCAATTACTAAATATAATGACACTTCGGAATGTAAAAAGCTCAGAAAGCCAGCTTCATTTCAGATAGTGTCTATTCTATCTTCAACGTTGTAAATAATCCTCGACTTGCTGTTCTTCACTGTTCTATTTTTGCTGTGTTCCAATTAGGTCATTAAAAAATATTGAAATATATGATTCTGCAAAATCTCCAAATGAATACAAATGAGTAGTCAGCCTGGTTTCATGCACCTCGTTCAATAAGCTGAGAGCAGAAATGGACAAAATATGTTGGGGGCCCACGATCACCTTATTTTAACTCAGTGGTCACAATGGAATGGCCTTTTATTCAGTGCCTTGTGCATAAAAGATTAGAATCCCAACATTCACAAAAGGAAGATAAAAATGATATACTGCCAACAGTTGAAGTAAACATGTGTTTTATATTCATTATTAGGCAATGAAGATGGATCTATTTGATTCTAATGGTGCATTAATTTCTATTTTATTTAAGCTAAAGTTATCAACCTGTTTTGATTATTGTTTATTTTCATTTTGAAGTTTATGTGAAGTAACTAGAGAACATTTCGTTAAGATTTAAATCAAAATTCTTGAGCTCTTTAATATTAAGTGAGACAGTAACTGTATCATGTAATTCTAGATCTGATATCACACGGCTGGACATAGAACAAGGTCCACTTTACTTTGCTCCAACACCTCATATAAGTCCTGGCCCCAGAAGAGCGGTCTCTACTGTCAGCTTTTCATTATTTCCCACCTCAATATTCACGTGATCACTCTAAGTGCAGTTTCCATAATGCCGAATTAGAGATGGTTTAGTGCTTTAGCAATATTATTGCCCTAAATCAAGTCATATAAAGGTAAAGTTTTCATAGTTTTCCCAGACCATAGCACTGCTCTCTCATTAGAAAAAACTGATGGTCACCACACCTCAGGTAAGGGGAAAAGTTGCACTGGTGTTTCGTTTGAATTTCTAGCCCACAGCACCATTCCATCACTTGATATATCCAGTTTCATGTGTGCATTTTGAGAATTGAGGAAACATGTCAACATTCTGAAATTTCTAAGATTATTGTGATTGTTCACCAATAAATAGGCAATATCATTGGCAATTTTGGATTGGCATCAACTGTTTGATCTACCAGTATCACAAATGCACAGTATCAATTTACATTTTGATCTAAATTACTCCATGCAAAAATACATAAACATACAATCATTTCGGGCAGAGAAAGTGGTGGAAAAACAACATTGGAATTAACAGTGAGTCTTGTAAAATTGGTATGTCTACCGCAACTCAAATGTCAAGTCTAATCATGGAACTGCCACACAACCAGCCATTACCCTCACGTATGTCTCAAATAGCCAATCTCGCAATCATAATCACAAGAAAACTCCTCAGATATCCTAAGAACAACAGAGAAATCAGCTTTATCCAAACATACAAGCAATAAGTGGTCATAGGCCATTCATCTCTTCAAGCCTGCTCCACCATTCAGTAAGATTACAGCTGATCTGTTTGTGTTTTGAATTCCACATTCCCATCCAGCCTGATCACCTTTGATTCCGTTGCCTAACCAGACCCGAAACATTAACTCTGATTTTTCTCCACAGAAAATGCCAGACCTGCTGAGCTTTTCCAGCAATGTCTGTCTTTGTTCCTGATTTACAGCATCTGCAGTTCTTTCGGTTTTTATTAAGAACCTATCCACCTCCAACTTAAAGATATTCCATGTTCCTCCTCCACCACACTTTGAGGCAGAGTGTTCCAAAGTTTCACAGGGTTCTGAGAAGATTCCTCTCATCTCTGTCCTAGAAGAGCAATCCTTAATTTTAAAACAGTATTTTCTATTCTGGACTCACTCACATTCTTTCCATGACCACCTTGTCAAAACCATTCAAGATCTTACAAACTTCAATTAGATCATCCATTGGACCTCTGGGCTTGAGGAAAATAAACCAGTCTGTCATACTTTTTTTCATATGGTAACCCTTTCAACCTGATACCAATCAGGTAAACCTTCTTTGAACCAGCTCCAAAGCATTTGCATACTTTCTTAAATACAGAAACCAAAACTGTCCACAATATTTGAAATGTGGTCTCACCAAAGCCCCGTGTAACTGGTGATTAACATACTTACTTTTGAGTTCAATTTCTCTCCTAATAAAGGTCAGCATCCCATTAGCCTTCCTGATTACACACTGAACCAGCAAACTCAACTTCTGTCAGTCATGTGCTAAAACTAGTAACATCCACATCACACAAGTACCAGGCAATGAACACCTCAAACAAGACAGAATCTAATCATCAAATTGTCACATTCAATGGCATTGCCATTGAAGAATTCCCAACTATCAAGCTGCTATTATCATTGACCAGAAACTAACGTGGACTAGCCGTATAAATACCATGGCTGCAAAAGCAGATCAGAAGCCAGTAACTCACCTCCTGATTCACCAGAAACCGTCTACCATCTACAAGGCAAATCTCATGTGCGATGAAATACCCTCCAGTTTCCTGGATGAGTGATTCTCCAACAATACTCAATAAGATTGACACCATCCAAAATAAAGCAGCCCATTTCATTGGAACCTACCCACTATCTTAAATAACTGCAACATTCACACTTTCACCACCAATAAACAGTTGTTGCAACATGTACCAATTACAGGATGCACTACTGCAACTCACCTTCTACAGCACCTTCCAGACATGTGGCCTACCCTTCATTGACCACCGCAGTTTAAGAAGGCAATTCAAGGATGAAACAGATGGGCAATGAAACCTCATGGACAAATTTTATAAAGCACAAAACAGCCAAGCCAGACTGTGACAGTGATGTTAAAATTCAATCTTATGCTTTATTTTATGTTTTTCCATCACTTAAATATATTGCAACTGAAGCCCCACATTCTAATCAAAATCAAGAAAATTTATCTTTTAATTCTGTCTACTATTTCTGTTCTGTTATTGTCTGAAACACAATATTTACTAAGATGGAAATGAATTACATTTCATAATGGATTTACCAGTGATTAAGCAAGAGAAAATATGATAAGGACAAAGATAGCTTCATTCCTTCGTGACATCTATATGTAATGTTAACTATTTTAAATATTAGCTATTAGCAATTTTTTTCCTTTCTCAGCATATTCCCAGAGAACAATAAGTGAAGGGCTTTATGGTCAGCTTTAAAGCTTTCAATAAAAGCCAAACAAATATTTACCAGCTATTGATTCAAAAAACACTTTGACTTTCCTGTCAAATATCCAAGTCTAAGAACAACTGTAGATTTAGTTAAATGTGTCACATCCACTAATTTAATTGCTTCTTACACCCAACACTCTTTTCTAAACCTGAGTGATTGATGAAAGGACAAATCTCTATTGAACAGTCTGTAAAACCAATGTTTTCATTTTGCAGAGCGCAAAGCTTTCCCTATTATGTAACTGTTACAGAATACATGCAGTTTTTTTTCTTCTGATCATTTTCTCATGCCTTCGGTTGTCAACTGTCTAATATGCAGTATCTTCGAATAAAATTATTCCTTCTGAAGTGGTACGCCAATGAGCAATAGATTACGATAAATGCAAAGATTTCAGAAAAAAAGAGCTATTGGTTTTCCTGTGTATTGCTTCAGGATGACCCTTTTAGTTTACTTAAATTGATTGTCTTCATCAATCACCCTCCAACCAATGCCATCTGGTCAAATGATTCAGTCTAATGAAGGCACTGAAGATGGGCTACAGGAATTGGATTTTAAAAATGTCATTCCTATAACGAAATGTAACAAAACAAAATGATGGGCCACTGGTTTCTGGCATTTTGTCTAAAATAATATCAGGCAATATTTCTATACTTAACAAAGTTTGCAGTATTTTGCAAGAAAAGAATTCTGTGTCACAGATAAATCTTAGCAGATAGAGAAAGAAACCAGGATAAATACCAGAGTTTTGAAGTCTTGATTATACATTTATTCCCATCTCCAGTATGCATCTGGGTAGACTGCACTTGCCTGCTTCCATTCTTATCTTTCTAATCTGAAAATGAGGCTTTTCTTCCTGCTCCAACACTGCACCTCTAGTGTCTCCCAGCGATCTATCCTTCAAACTCTCTATTTCTCATCCACATGCTGTATCTGGGCTGCATTATCCAAAAATTACAGCATCTGTTTCCATGTGTGTTCTGGCAAAACCTAACTTTACCTCATAATGAGCTTTCCCAAACCTTCCATTGTGCCTAAGCTGTCAGACTGCTGCACTATCATCCAGTAATCAATATGAACAATCTTCCTCTAGCTGAATATTGAGAAGACTGAAGCTATGGTCTTCCAGCCCCTTCACAAACTCCACCTGCTAACCACCTACTCTGCCTGTCTCCTAACTCTCTAAGAATAAACAAAACCATTTGAAACCTTGGTGTCATAGTGAAGCCTAAGTTCAGCCTCCAATAATATATCTAAAAGATCACCAAAACCATCAATTTTCACCTCAGCAACATTGCCTGATACTGCCTATGCCTCAGCCCTTCTG